ATGCAGTACTTTGTGTTCGATTGCTGTGCAGTACTTTGTGTTCCCTGGATATACAGTACTTTCTGTTCCATGGCTGTGCATTACTTTGTGTTCCATGGTTATGCAGTACTTTCTGTTCCATGGCTGTGCAGTACTTTGTTTTCCATGGTTGTGCAGTACTTTGTGTTCCATGGCTGTGCAGTACTCTGTGTTCCATGGCTGTGCAATAATTTGTGTTCCATGGTTGTGCAGTACTTTGTGTTCCATGGTTGTGCAGTACTTTGTGTTCCATGGCTGTGCAGTACTTTGTGTTCCATGGCTATGCAGTACTTTGTGTTCCTTGTGTTACTCTGGTGATGAGGTACTTAATGTTACCCTGGCTATGAAGTACAATATGTTACCTGGCTGTGCAATACTACATGTTACCCTGTCTATACAGTACTACATGTTACTCTGGTTATGCGGTACTTAATGTTACCCTGGCTATGAAGTACAATATGTTTTCTGGCTATGCAATGCTACATATGTTACAAGTTATTGCTGTGATTTTTGGAGAACCGCACACAGCCCACCCTTCTAACCCGGCTCATCTTGACTGAAAATAGGCCAATTTGGCCTGAAACGGGTTTTGGCAGTATCCACTTCACATCTTGAAAACTCAGTTCCTTAATGATATTTTTCAAGGAAACCCATTTAAAACACAAGAGAAGTTCTTATCCCAACAGATGTTACCAGTTATTGCTGTGATTTTTAGAGAACCGCACACAGCCCACCCTTCTAACCCGGCTCATCTTGACTGAAAAATAGGCCAATTTGGCCTGAAACGGTTTTGGCAGTATCCACTTCACATCTTGAAAACTCAGTTCCTAAATGATATTTTTCAAGGGAACCCATTTAAAACACAAGAGAAGTTCTTATCCCAACAGATGTTACCAGTTATTGCTGTGATTTTTGGAGAACCGCACACAGCCCACCCTTCTAACCCGGTTCATCATGACTGAAAATAGGCTTATTTGGCTTGAAATGGGTTTTTGCAGTATCCACTTCACATCTTACAAACTAGAGTCTTAAATCATATTTTTCAAGGAAACCAATTTAAAACAAAAGAGAAGTTTTTATCCCAACAGATGTTACCAGTTATTGCTGTGATTTTTGGAGAACCGCACACAGCCCACCCTTCTAACCCGGCACATCATGACTGAAAATAGGCCAGCTTGGCTTGAAACGGATTTGGGCAGTATCCGCTTCACATCTTACAAACGAATATCCTAAATTATATAATTCAGGGAAACCCATTTAAAACATAAGAGAAGTTCTTATCCCAACATATGTTACCAGATATTTCTTTGATTTTTGGAGAACCGCACACAGCCCACCCTTCTAACCCGGCACATCATGACTTAAAAATAGGCCAATTTGGCTTGAAACAGGTTTTGACAGTATACACTTCACATCTTGAAAACTAATATCCTCAATGATATTTTTCAAGGGAACCCATTTAAAACACAAGAGAAGTTCTTATCCCAACACATGTTACCAGTTATTGCTGTGATTTTTTTTGAGAACCGCACACAGCCCACCCTTCTAATCCAGCTGATCTTGACTGAAAATTGGCCAGTTTTCTCTTGAAACGGGTTCTGGCAGTACCTGCTTCAGATCCTACAAACTGAATTCCTAAATAATGTTTTTCAAGGAAACCCATTTAAAACACAAGAGAAGTTCTTATCCCAACAGATGTTACCAGTTATTGCTGTGATTTTAGGAGAACCGCACACAGCCCACCCTTCTAACCCGGCTCATCAGGATTGAAAATAGGCCTATTTGGCTTGAAACGGGTTTTGGCAGTGTCCACTTCACATCTTACAAACTAATATCCTAAATAATATAATTCAAGGGAACCCATTTAAAATATAAGAGAGGTTCTTATCCCAACAGATGTTACCAGATATTTCTTTGATTTTTGGAGAACCGCACACAGCCCACCCTTCTAACCCGGCACGTCTTGACTGAAAATTGGCCAGTTTTGGCTTGAAACAGGTTTGGGCAGTATCCACTTCACATCTTACAAACTTAATTCATAAAAAATATTTTTCAAGGAAACCCATTTAAAACACAAGAGAAGTTCTTATCCCAACAGATGTTACCAGTTATTGCTGTGATTTTTGGAGAACCGCACACAGCCCACCCTTCTAACCCGGCTCATCAGGATTGAAAATAGGCCTATTTGGCTTGAAACGGGTTTTGGCAGTGTCCACTTCACATCTTACAAACTAATATCCTAAATAATATAATTCAAGGGAACCCATTTAAAATATAAGAGAGGTTCTTATCCCAACAGATGTTACCAGTTATTGCTGTGATTTTAGGAGAACCGCACACAGCCCACCCTTCTAACCCGGCTCATCATGATTGAAAATAGGCCTATTTGGCTTGAAACGGGTTTTGGCAGTGTCCACTTCACATCTTACAAACTTAATTCATAAATAATATTTTTCAAGGAAACCCATTTAAAACACAAGAGAAGTTCTTATCCCAACAGATGTTACCAGTTATTGCTGTGATTTTTGGAGAACCGCACACAGCCCACCCTTCTAACCCGGTTCATCTTGACTGAAAATAGGCTTATTTGGCTTGAAATGGGTTTTTGCAGAATCCACTTCACATCTTACAAACTAAAGTCCTACATAATATTTTTCAAGGAAACCCATTTAACACACAAGAGAAGTTCTTATCCCAACAGATGTTACCAGTTATTGCTGTGATTTTTAGAAAACCGCACACAGCCCACCCTTCTAAACCGGCACATCATGACTGAAAAATAGGCCAATTTGGCCTGAAACGGTTTGGGCAGTATCCACTTCACATCTTGAAAACTCAGTTCCTAAATGATATTTTTCAAGGAAACCAATTTAACACACAAGAGAAGTTCTTATCCCAACAGATGTTACCAGTTATTGCTGTGATTTTTAGAAAACCGCACACAGCCCACCCTTCTAAACCGGCACATCATGACTGAAAAATAGGCCAATTTGGCTTTAAACAGGTTTTGGCAGTATCCACTTCACACCTTGAAAACTAATATCTTAAATAATATTTTGCAAGGAAACCAATTTAAATGACAAGAGAAGTTCTTATCCGAACACATGTTACCAGTTATTGTTGTTATTTTTGGAAAACAGCACACAGCCCACCCTTCTAACCCGGCTCATCTTGACTGAAAATAGGTCAATTTGGCTTGAAACGGGTTCTGGCAGTACCCGCTTCCCATCCTACAAACTGATATCCTAAATAATATTTTTCAAGGAAACCAATTTAAAACACAAGAGAAGTTCTTATCCCAACAGATGTTACCAGTTATTGCTGTGATTTTTGGAGAACCGCACCCTTCTAAACCGGGAAATAGGCCAGTTTGGCTTGAAACGGGTTTTGGCAGTATTCACTTCTCATCTTGAAATAAAATAATATGTAAATATTAACAAAAGTAAAGATCCTTTCCCAACAGATGTGACCAGTTTTTGTCGTAATGTTGGGCGTCTGTGTCTAAATTCGTCACATCTCAACTCATAAAAGGCCAATTCTATTGTAGCAAAACAATATAGTAGCAGTAATAGTAGCAGTAGTTGTGGTAGCAGCAGTAGTAGTTTGTTTGTGTGTTTCTTTTTTAACCCCGCACTCAGTAATACTCCAGCTATATGACACCAGTCTGTAAGAAATCGAGTCTGGACCAGAAAACCCAGTGGCTGACATCATGAACATCGATCTACGCAATTGGGACACAATAACATGGATCAATAAAGTCAGCGGGCCTCACCCGCGGTTGCCTCTTTCTAGTCTTCACAATTACAGTAGCAGCAGCAGTAGTAGTAGTAGAAGTAGTAGTAGTAGTAGCAGCAGTAGCAGCAGCAGCAGCAGCAGCAGCAGCAGTAGCAGTAGTAGCAGCAGTAGTAGTAGTAGTAGTGGCAGCAGTAGCAGCAGTAGTAGTAGTAGTAGTAGTAGCAGCAGCAGCAGCAGTAGTAGTAGTAGTAGTAGTAGTAGTAGCAGCAGTAGCAGTAGCAGCAGCAGCAGCAGTGGTAGTAGTAGTAGTAGTAGTAGTAGTGGGAGTAGTAGCAGTAGTAGCAGTCGTAGTAGTTGTAGTAAAAGCAGCAGTAGTAGTTGTAGTAGTAGTTGTTGTAGCAGTAGTGGTAGTAGCAGTAGTAGCAGCAGTAATAGTAGTAGTGGTAGCAACAGTAGTGGTAGTAGCAGTAGAAGTAGCAGTAGCAGTCATAGTAGTAATGGTAGCAGCAGCGGTAGTAGTAGTGGTAGTAGCAGTAGTAGTAGTAGTTTTGGTAGTAGGAGTAGAAGTAGTAGTAGAAGCAGTAGTATTAGTGGTAGTAGCAGTAGTAGTAGTAGTAGTAGTAGTAGTAGTAGTAGTAGTAGTAGTAGTAGTAGTAGTAGTAGGTGCTAGAGCAGTAGTAGGTGCTATAGTAGTAGGAGTAGGTTTGCGTTGTTTGTATTTATCTAATATCTTCAGAACAAAGCAATCCCCATCAACTGTAAACGAAAATATATACATTGCGTGTAATAAACATGGTGTAAGTTGACAATTTTAAACTAACAACAACGAATTTGACAGATGATAGCAAATGCCAATTCCAGTCACTCAACCGCCGAACTGCCATAGCTGAACTCTATGGTCTTCAGAGTTATCTGCCCTTGTTTGGAAACAAATCGCCAGCACACAAAGTCAGCGAAGCTTTGTCGGCTGAGTGGGTTGGATTTGTTTCCAAGGGCAGATAACTCGTAAGACCATAGATAACTGTCAATTTAGTGCATCACTCTGGCAGAGTGGGTTCGAATCCCGGACGGGACCCTGCTTATACCTACTCTATACCTAGACTGTACCTAGCGTATATTGTAGTAGCAAGTACATACACTGTACCTTACCTGTACCTGGCATTTATCTTTCCTGTACCTAGCCCGTACCTAGCCTGTAACTGGCCTGTAACTAGCCTGTATCAAACTACCATGTACCTTGCTTGTACCTAGCCTCTACCGAGCCTGTCCTCAAGTCTCCCGCGTCCTCCGATATGGCATCAGCACAGAAGTCCGGCAAGACGAAGAAGAAGAAGAAGTCGATGGGTGGTAACGCTGACAAAAACACTCCAGTGACACGCACGACTGACAAAACTCCTGGTTCAAACAAGAAGACACTCACACGATCTCGGGCAGCAGATTTCTTCTGAGTTGTGTCACCATGAATGTTGTACTGAGATTCAATAGCAACACAAGAGGCCTATGCGCTATACGCCAAGGATGCCGACAATATCGACTCCACACCAGCCTCCGTAACACCGAGGTCTGCTGCAACTACAACTACAAGTGTCCTGGTTGCCAAGGTTGTTGTTATGGTAACAGGTGTGATTGTCCTGGAAGCAGGAGTGTCCTGTTATACTTTGTGACCACTCACTCACTCACTCACTCACTCACTCACTCACTCATGTAGCAGATCGTGTACAGTGGTACTATAGACGGGAACAGGGATACACTGAGTTAAGGCAAGTTCACTGGCAGCTGTCTATAGCTGGGTGGGGTGGGGTGGGGTGGGGCTCAATTGGAGGAGCATTCTTCACATATTGTCAGGGGAGGATGTTTTTTGGGGGGGTGTTTAGAGAGTGGGGTCGCATCCTTCACATAATTTTTTTTGGGGGGGTAAAGAGTGGGGTGGCAACTTTAATATATTTTGGGGTTGGGAGTGGGATAGCCATGCAGTTAACACATGGTTAAAGTGAGTGAGTGAGTGAGTTGGGTTTAGCGCTGTTTTTAGCAATATTTCAGTTATATCACAGTGTGTCAGCTTAATGTGGGAGGAAAGCCCGAAGTGAAGCAGGTCTCAGAAGTTTACCACTTTGGTGAAACCCACAAGCACAGGTATGGTGCTGACGAACCTAAGAACTTAACGGGGCGAACCAGGTTCGTACCTACAATCATAGGTTTCTGGCGTAGCCAAGGGATACAACTCTGTACAGCGAATTGCGGCGCCTTAGACGGCCACCTGTGTCCCCTTGTAGCTAAAGAATTAGAGAAAAACCATCGAGCTACGAGGAAGCACGGATTGCCTGACCCGGGTTAATGAATGGAGGTACAGGTCCCCCCTGTATCGAGTAGGTTATTGAGAGAGATAATGAAGAAAAAATGTCAATCCTACAGAAAAACTTCACTAAAGGCAGCCTATTGTTCAGATGACATTTAATGTATTTAATTTGTGACGTCAAGAACAATGGCTGAAGTAACATATTTTATTCAACGGTGACGCACGATGACATCACATGACTTCAACTGACCAATCAGCATTTAGAATCGATAAAATGCCAATACCAGAATGTTATTCTGCATGGTCATTCTACCTTTATGGGTTCTGTATTCAACGTAATAAGGACCCAGGGCACTCTCAAAATTAAATAGGGGGCTCTTATTAGAATACTATTTTGCTAAGAAAAAAAAACAGAGTTGAAAGATCGTAAATTTTGTGGTTTATGCTGACAGCCTGAAATGATACAAAGAAAAGTCTGTGTGTATTATACACGACAAATCTTTTTTCCAGAATTTAAATGCCCATAATTGAGGGTGCATATAACACACAAGTGCATATCATACACGAATAAATAAGTCTTGTGTACATTGATCAATCAGAAGGGATGCTAATTGGGATTGTACACTAGCCAATATATTAGCAAATATAGCCGTGGGCGCTTTTTAGAGCAGGGTACTTATTACGTTGAATACGGTAATATAACACTGATAACGCCCTAGACTCCAGTTGGTTCCCCACATAGGTGCAAAGTAGGAAGCCAGTCTCTCTCTCTCACTCACTCACTCACTCACTCACTCACTCACTCACTCACTCACCTGGCTAGGACTCGGGTAACCACAATTTGGTAAGTAGAGTTGCTTCCCTTAGCATTGCAAGGATAGGCTTATTGTGGGTTCTATTGGCAGATTTGCCCAGATTATGGTCCTTGGTTTGTCAGAATCATACCCATGGATGTGGTAAATGTCAAAAGACCTGCCTCACTTCAGGCTGTCCGACCACATGAAGCTGACATGCCGTGATATAGCGGCAATACTGCTCAAAGCGATGTTTGATTACCTGAGTGAATGTTGGTCTGAACACGAGATGTTATAATTGTACAGTTTATGATTTGTATATAGGTTTCCATGGTGATGACACAGCACTGCAGTCAGGGTTTGCCACATATTTCTTCATAGTGTGTTACCATGGTTACAGGAGCCAGTTGCCTCTGCAATTCTGTTGAGATTCCGTAGGAAGAAACTGATGTCCAGATTTCGTTGGATAAAATTGAGATTTCTCGAATTGCGAATTTGATTGAGGATTTTCACGAAATCTTGATTTCAAGTAATGATTTCAAGTAATGATTACAAGCCAAAACAAAATGTCTCCTCTACCCTAGATGAATTGATGTGTCCAGATAACACTGAATGATAATGAGGTGTCCAGATTATGTTGAATTATAGTGAGGTGTCCTGATGTCATTGGAGGAAACCTAGCAGTAGCCTAGTGGTTAGAGCGTTCGCTCGTCATGCCGAAAACACGGGTTCGATTCCCGACATGGGTACAATGTGTGAAGCCCATTTCTGGTGTCCCCCGCCGTGATATTGCTGGAATATTGCTAAAAGTGGCGTAAAACCATACTCATTCACTCAAGTTTATCTAATGGAATTTCTTTTGGAATAATCAACATGTCCCAATAGTCAAGTCTTCCAATTTCATGGGGGACAAAATTGAGGCCTACAGATTACGTTGGATGGGATTGAGAATGTTTAAAATCAGTGGGGGGAGTATGAGCGATGTCCTATTTATGCAGTTTCAGCAGCTTTTGTCCTGTTCAACTCTTGATAAGGATAATCACTCATATCATATATAGAGATATTATATGAGTGTTCATGTCATACTATGTTTACGACACGAGTGTCGAAATACCGGAATTTAGGCGCAAGTTTCAGAAACATAGTATGACATGGACACGAATATGCCAGCAATGTTCTATTTATTACCGAAGACACACAGAGACGAATTGTAGAGTTTACCTTTAACGACAGTAAGTCACAATAGCAGCTGAACCACAATTTGTCGAATGACGTCAACAATCTTAAGCTATGACACCGTTTCTAGTGTGACGTCATACCGACATTGCGTCACAATAAGATTCGAATGACGTCAACAATGTCGTCCGGATGACGGAAACAATACCCTGTTGTCTCATGATAAGGAAGATATGATTTGTATTAACCCCGATATGTTTGCCCCCGTAGGTTATAAATGAATAAAATATGTTATCCGTGCCCAATATGATAACATCTATGGAGGTTATTCTTTCAATCTTGAATCCTTCATTACATTATACACTTGGCATATAAGGGTTTGTTTTGTTCATGGGAAGATAAAAATGTCCCTATCAAAAATGGAGTAGTATACATTGATGGAGTATGGAACATGCTGATGAAACAGCACTGAAACATGTGTGGTCCCCCCGAATGAGTTTGTGTCAGAGGTGGCTTGGTCTTCCTGCTAGAAAGGCATTACTTAACTTTCCTGTCTGCAGTGCTGATGGTGGCTTATAGAAACGGGGTTCCAGGGTGTGGGTCAATCTCGTGTTGGTATCAATGAACACCCAGTCGTTCAGGTTCAGGAGTGTTTCTTGTGGAGTATTGCTCACACAGAAGTGCCTACCGTTATGATTTGGCTGTAGTCATTGTGAGTTTTATCCAAACATTATGGTGTTACGGTGATGTAACTAAATGTATTACAAAAAACATATATCGTATTCGACGTAATAAGCGCCCCGCTCTAATAAGCGCCCACGGCGACATTTGCTAAGATATTGGCTAGTGAACAATCCCAATTAGCACCCCTTCCGATTGATCAATGTACACAGGACATTTATTTGCGTATAATATGCACTCGTGTGTTATATGCACCCTTAATTATAGGCAGTTAAATTCTGGAGAAATATATCTGTCGTACATAAACATTTCAGGCTGTCAACATAAACCACGAAATTTATCTTTCAACTCTGTTGGGTTTTTTCCACCAAAATATTAATCTAATAAGAGCCCCCTATTTCTAATTTTGAGAGCGCCCTGGGCGCTTATTACGTCGAATATGGTAAATCATATTTTTTTTAAAACAGACCTTTCGTAGTTACTTGATGCATTGCATGTAATTTGTTGAAGATTAACGTGGCATTCTGTCCAGACGTACACTGTAAGGAGCTCTGAATTAATATTACTTTAAGAAATATATTCGGTAATCTTATTTCTTTCAAATAGCTGTTGAGTGAGTATGTGAAAATATGTGTACAATTTTTACGAATGTAAAAGACATGCACACTTGGTACAATAAAAAATAGCTCCCAGTGGCTGACGGTGATAGAAACTTGAAACGAAAGAAACTAACCTCACCGGGTTGCTATGGTGATTACTGACAATAAATAAACAGTGAAAATGACTGCCTACTTTATCCAGATATTACTGAAAGGGAATAAATAGGCTGGGCACCTGTGCTCATGTTATCAGCCACTGGATTGCTGGTCCGGACTTGACGATTTACAGCATGTTGTGGGGTGGTCGGGTAGCCTAGTGGTTTAAGCGTTCGCTCGTCACACCAAAGACCCAGGTTCGATTTCCGACATGGGTACATTGTGTGAAGCCTGTTTCTGGTGTCCCCCGCCTTGATATTGCTGGAATATTGCTAAAAGTGGCGTAAAACCATACTCACTCACTTCAGGATGTTGTGATATTGCTGAAATATTTCTGAGTCTTAACCTGTCCCTCACTTCACCCTTGGGACAGGATTCTATACTACACTACACTTGATAAGGATATATATTTTCTTTTCCATGATACCCCAAAATGATTTTCATGTCAAGAATATATTTAAATATTTGGCATTGTTGTCCTCATAGGTTCAGTATTATATACTACTCAAAAGAAGTTAAGGAAACCCAATTTTTGCATAAAACTATAAACTACTTTTATAACAAACACGCTTATAATGAACTGATGGATAGTAGCGTCCTTTTGCTGTATATATGCTTATGATGAACTACGGTTTTAAGAAACAAAAATTAGTGGTCCCTTTGAGTTCGTTATTACCATAGGTTACTGTAGTTATTCGGTCATGTTATGACAGATTAACTGTAATCATATGAAAGTATCGGGGTTCTTTAACTCCTTGTGAGTAGTCTGTTTTATTTTGGGTTTATTCAAGAGGACCAGACCAGTGAGTTGTGATATTGTTGTGTTGTCGCACCCTGTTTGTGAGTGGACGAATGGCGCTGTGTGACAGTCTACAGTTTTACATCACATCAGTCTGGACCAGTCATCCTGGTGGCTCAGTCACTGGGGTAGCGGGGGGCACGGGGGGCCCAGTTGTCTAAGGCGATGTGCAGAGTTGCGACCCTTGGGCACGCCAGAAACCTACGATTGTGGGTTCGAATCCCGGTTAGCCCCGATTATGTTTCTAGGTTTGTCAGCACCATACCCATGCTCGTGGGTTTCACCAAAGTGGTAAACGTCTGAGACCTGCATCACTTTGGGCTTTCCTCCCACATTAAGCTGACACGCCGCGATATAACTGGAATACTGTTAAAAGCGGCGTTAAACCCCAACTCACTCACTCGCTGGTGTAGCTCTGATTTACTTGCAATCTGAAGTGGTGTATACTACTCAAAAGATGTTAGACAGATTAACCACAGTAATTTGAAGAATCAGGTGTTCCTTAACTTCTTTTGAGTAGTATATTAGGAAAAGACCTACCCTTGCTTGACCGGATGACATTCTTGAACCATGTTGTACATTGTAGAAGTTGAAGACAATTGAATAAACAATGAGTATTGTTTCTGCATTCTGTGTTCTTGATGTTTGATGCTCATGATATCAATCAGTGGCTGTGTCAAGATTTACAGTAATTTGTCTTCTTAGATTTTTATTTACATCCACTTGTCAGTACGAACACATGGCTGACCAACATGAGGATTGGATGGTTAACATTACTATAATCTCATATCATACATTTATATACCACAGGTATCGAGGTACTAATGCGGGTATTTAAAAGCGGTCTTATTTGTTCCCTGGCCAGTGCATCCGTTTGCATTCCAGTTATCATTCTCAACTCCCTGGGGAGTATACAACCCAACCTGTTAGTTTTTACATCCACTTCACCTACCGGGTACCCATTCCCTGGTGGGTGAACAGAGGCACATTTGAACTAATTCTCTTGTCCAGGGTGACCCCACACGTTGTGACACTTGTGTTTCGGTGTATGTACGTATCCGTGTTTCCACCATCTTGTCATCTACCGTCGGACGAGTGGGTTCTTTTGAGTGCACAGGGTGAATGTTCTGTACACTAGGAGTAGTCACAACACCTTAAAGACCCGTAAATATTGTTGGTCCCAAGGCTGAATAACAACCTGGTCACATGCGGGAACGATCTCAGGACCTGGTGCTTGCTAACCTGGCGCTTTTGACCGCTTGCCCTCACCGCCCCTAATGAGAGACCTGACCACACCCAACTTTATTACAGGCTGCTGTCGCATAGGTCTTCTAATTCAAATATTGTCAATCTTTTTATTATCAATTTCATTAACAAGGACAGTCCTATTACATATCCTTCAGTCTTGTGATATACAAGCCCTTCCAGACCCGTGAAGATCCGTGGTAGAATAGATCTTCAGCAACCCATGCTTGATGTAAAAGGCGACTATGCTTGTCATAAATGGCGACTAACTGGATCGGGTGGTCAGACTCGCTGACTTGGTTGATGCATGTCATCATATCCCAATTGCGTGGATCGATGCTCATGATGTCAATCACTGGATTGTCCAGACTTGATTACTTACAGACCGCCGTCCTATAGCTGGAATATTGCTGAGTGCGGCGGTAAACAACAAACCAACCAACCAAGTTCAGTCGTCATATACGAGCCCCAACAGTCTCTCTCTCTCCTCTTATTCACGAGGAGCTGGGGATCACACGCAGATAAATAACAACAGCAAAGGGTTGATGGTTTGAAACATTTATGCATTTTCTTTATACATGCATGGGAGCCGTGAGCGTCGAGAGGCCACCCACAACTTCATATACAGCAGTCAAGCAGGATAGGTGGCAGGGACATCAGCCCTTCACACAGTACCCTCAGTGAACACTGGAGATAACTAGACATACACCACACTGGCAATATACACATTTATACACCACTTATAGTGGCAAAGGTTTGCATAACAGTGGTTAGTGAACATGAAAAACCAATTCCACAAACTGCCACATATGGACCTAAAACGGAACATATTTAGCACTTGGTGCCCAATTTCATTTCTTTGGAATACCTGAAGGCCATTTCACATATTGTGACAATATTTGATTGTAGTATCCATGGTGACAGGATGTGGAATATGACCAGAATCCGCAAGCTCCTCACAGTGATACCCCGGAGCTCTCTATACTATCACTGCCACCAGTCAAACCTCCCCACTGTGATGCGTGGCCACAACCATGCATGGAGTTGAATTCACAGCCGAATGACCGTTATGTTTACAAACAAGTGATAATGCAGTGACGTGGATACTCTTACCCTTGCTATTTTATTTTCTTTGTTTATCAATCTGAATTTGCGTTTCATGACAACTATCATGTTATTGATATTGTTAGACTTTAAGGGGGAGTTGGTTGATTTTCCATTTGTCTGCAATTGTGAACCAATCTGATCAAACAAACAAAATGATAAATTCATCTTGAAATTATGGTCAGTTATAAACCTTTTCAAAATTCACTATGATATGGGGTTAGAGGGCAAATTTCAAGATTCTTGTAATGGGCGTGCCCCTACTGGTGACAGCGATGTTACCGAGAGTGTAACGAAGGTGTCAAGCGCTGGGAGGGAGCTTGAAGAATCAGGTCCTGTGATTGGAGGAGGTGGGTGATGCTGGATGTACAGGGCATGAGACAGGTCATGAGAACACTGCAAGCAGGGCAACCAAGCGGCATTGTATTAAGTACAGCTTCAAGAACTCATATAAACACCAAAGGCCAACACAAATTGATTGCTACATTATCACCCTGTCCTCTCACCTTCATATTTCATTATAACAGAACTGTTACAAAAACAATAGTGTCAGGGAACTGTAGCTCACCTGGATATGTACGCAACAGTTTTAAAAAACAAAGGCAAATTCTGCTGTCTGCATTGATTTTCATCTATTCTCTGTATAAATACTAAACACTAGAACTAAAGTCTAATGAATTGACCAAAATGTCATCTAAAGGAGAAACATACATGACTCAGTCTTCCAATTTCATAGAAGTGAGTGAGTGAGTGAGGTTTCACGCCGCTTTAAGCAATATTCCAGCAACATCACGGCGGGGGACACCAGAAATGGGCTTCACACATTGAACCCATGTGGGGAATCGAACCCGGGTCTTCGGCGTGAAGAGCGAACGCTTTAACCACTAGGCTACCCGACCGCCCCTTTCATAGAAGTGTTACAGCACATGGAGAGATTTAACAGCATGACTCACAGATAGCTAACTAGATATTAACTTTAATCACATATTGAACAATGACTGAGTAATGGTCATAAATATCTTTTTCAAAATGGCTGCCATGGTGGCCATATTGAAAAACTGATTCCAACCTCTTCAACAGATTCAGTGCCATCATTGTTGGGAATAAACATGTGAAGTGTCAGCTTCATTGGTCTTGTGGATTCTGAGGAGGAGAAATTTACAGTAGACAAACAGACCAGCAGACAACGACATACGCTCACTTTCAATCGTGACCTTGAAAGATGATGTTTTTAAAAATAAAACCCCCTCCTCCTTCACTACATTGATAAATTTGGATCATAATGTAATAATTAATTTCTTGTGGCCAGAGATTAGTGTTGGTGAAAAATATAGTTTGGCTGGAAATACATTCCCCACCCCTCACTCAGCCTGTCCTATACCGTCACTGTGACTTTACCAAGCCACTTTACATTTACCCTTATAGTTCAGGAGGGACAGTGTTCCTGGAACTGCCAGCCAAACCAAGGCCAAGTGCCCTTCAAATGTAGTAATGCAATATTTTACAAATTGGTGTGAGTTGATTATGAAATCGAGGCCCTGTTAAAAAATAACTCAATCTTGGGACATTCATCTTCCAGCCAAACTATTTTTGACATACATGAACAATTTGAAATGTATCCAAGACAATGACAAGGAGTCAGCAGCCTCCATGAATGATGATAGCTTATGTACGGGGAAGTGAGGACAGCAAGTAACAAACATTGTACACAGGGTATAAACAGTTGTATATGTACAGGAGAGGGTACTGCATGGAGGGGGATATCAGCCATACCGCCCGGTAGAAAGTATGTATATATAACAGTGGACATATCTTAGAAAAAAACAACAATATACATAGCACTGTCAAAACAGTCATACAATAAGAATTGGATCAGCTTGTGAGCCAGCATATAAACAACAATAACAGACTCAATGGTCATGAATACCAATGGAAAAAAAAACAAATCCTATGAAAATATGACCTTAACAGATCACCATACATTAGGTATGGCAGGGGGATACAAACATCAAGCCGTCACAATAAAAGTTAAAGTTGCGATAAAAAAATTACAAAATATACTTTAGCTAAGAGGGCATGCCTTGTGTGTAACATATGTTCTAAGTCAACCGTATAAAACATACACACTCCCAATTGTCCTGACTAACTTACTGGTTTCAATGGTCCCAGGCTCAAACCTGAATTGATTCAGCCAGATTCCACCTTATTCAGTAATTGCTGGGGCAGCGAAAAAGGTCAAGGTCGTAAACACTCGATCAAGGTCATAAGCACAAAGTCCAGTGTCATAAGCACAAGGTCAAGGTCATAAGCACTAGGTCATGGTTTCCATGCAATGTCAAAGCCAAATTTTCCAAAGCTTTGACAAATGGAGCATAAAAAGGAGCATGTACTGCCTCCATGAAGTCATGACAGAAATCAGAGTATCCATGGTATCAGCAATGGGAAAAACACTGCACAATAGCAAAACAATAGGAAAAAGATTGTAACTTTGTATGACAGTTATAACCATAGAGTTTTAAGTTTGGGCCTGACAGCAGCCTTCAGCACCAGATCCGACAAAGTTCAGGGTCCAAGACATGAATATACAGTTTAATATGGCAATTAACACTAGCCCACTGCCAGTACAGATGCAAGGTGCTAGTAAATCGGTTGTGCTTCACACAACTGTGAACAGTATTTCACATATACTACTCAAAACAAGTCAAAGAACACCCACAAATGGAAGGTTGTGTGCACCCACCAGCCATGACAGACTAACTATAGTCATAAGAAAACATTGGGCTGTCTTTAACTTCTTTTTGAGTAATATACATGGTGTTTCAGTTTGTGTTAGGAGGAAAGACAGAGTGATGCAGTTCTTCGACGTTTACCACTCTGGTGAAACCCACAACACGGGTATGGTACAGAAAACACCGTGACAATCAAGGTGGATCTAGGATTCGAACCCATGATCACAGGTTCACGGCATGCCTGAGGGAGGAATTGCAGCACACTGCAGCACCTTAGGTGACTGGGCTACCCTTGGCCCTCAAACCAGGGCCACCCCTTGCCCTCAAACCAGGGCCACCCCTGGCCCTTAAACCTGGGCCACCCTTGGCCCTCAAACCAGGGTCAACCCTGCCCTTAAACCTGGGCCACCCTTGGCCCTCAAACCAGGCCACCCCTGGCCCTTAAACCTGGGCCACCCCTGGCCCTCAAACCAGGGCCACCCCTGGCCCTTAAACCAGGGCCTGTAGAGTGTGGAGGACACTGCCGATGTGAGTGCAAATAATACTTTGGTTAACATGTACAAGGAAGAAGATATCGCATTGGCCTATAATGATAGACTCAACTACTTATTTCACACTTAGATGTTTAGTATTTCCCATTAATATACACATGTAATATATAGTATATTCCAAGGAAAATATAGTTTCATGCAAAGTTTTTAAGTTTGCAAATGAGGGCCTTGTACTGATTACCTACCTCGTTAAGATGACCTTGAACCTGTGTTGCTGCTTGTAACAGAGACTGAGGACATCTCATAGTTCAGTTTAACAACAAAATGTCCAGTCAAATGGTAGGAATTTGTCATTTTTCAAAGGTGAACAACAGCAAATAAAAACCTTATCTGACAATATTTATGTCATCTGGAACGTCAGTCTTGATCCCAAAGCTAGTTTCCTTCCGCAACACAGAATTCAGGGCCTCCTTCCACTGTTGAAATTCTATCGTCGACTTACGATAGTCGCAGCACTCGTATCATCTTATAGCGCATGACCCAGTAGTTAATAAGTGTCAATTAACAAATGCAAAATACAAATAATTCCTGTGTGAAATTGCAGCTCTAGACAGCTGTGTACATTATCCTACCTATTCTGGTCAACACACCTTATTAATCACAACAGAAGAACTCTGACATTCCAAAAGAACTCAGCCACAACAGGACTACGCCGTTTGCATGTTTTTTTCAACAGAACGGCCAGTCCAAGTTGAGACAAACCGTGTTTGCAACCTTCTAGTGCCTAGGCTGTGTGAGTGAGTGAGTGAGTATGGCATAACTCAGCTTTTAACAGTATTCCAATTATATTACTTCTTGTCAGCTTAAAGTGGGAGGAAAGCCCGAAGTGATGCAGGTCTCAGATGTTTACCACTTTGGTGAAACCCACGAGCCCGGGTATGGTGCTCACTAAACCTAGAAACATAATCAGGGTGAACCGGGATTCGAACCCACAATCATACACTGCACAGCAAATCGCGGCACCTAAGACAACTGGGCCATCTGTGCCCCCGACTCTTACAGGAGACTTATCAAGTTAAAGATGCTCCTATTTTGAATGCAATAATATACGACTCAACATTTGAACAACATTCATCTTCAGTCAATGGTGTGGTCCTTAGCAAATGTTGAGCAGCATTACTCAATTGGTACACCCATCCTGCAGGAATCTGTATATTCTAGCACAGCATAGACGCTGTGGGGATGTACGGTCAAGGTGCCCCTATCAGCGTTATCTCAATTGATACTCATATCCTGCAGGAATCTGTATATTCCAGCACAGCATAGACGCGGTGGGGATGTACCGTCAAGGTGCCCCTATCAGCGTTATCTCAATTGATACTCATATCCTGCAGGAATCTGTACATTCCAGCATAGCATAGACGCTGTGGGGATGTACGGTCAAGGTGCCCCTATCAGCTTTATCTCAATTGATACACCCATCCTGCAGGAATCTGTATATTCCAGCACAGCATAGACGCGGTGGGGATGTACCGTCAAGGTGCCCCTATCAGCATTATCTCAATTGATACTCATATCCTGCAGGAATCTGTATATTCTAGCATAGCATAGACGCAGTGGGGATGTACGGTCAAGGTGCCCCTATCAGCGTTATCTCAATTGATACTCATATCCTGCAGGAATCTGTATATTCCAGCACAGCATAGACGCGGTGGGGATGTACCGTCAAGGTGCCCCTATCAGCGTTATCTCAATTGATACTCATATCCTGCAGGAATCTGTACATTCCAGCATAGCATAGACGCTGTGGGGATGTACGGTCAAGGTGCCCCTATCAGCTTTATCTCAATTGATACACCCATCCTGCAGGAATCTGTATATTCCAGCACAGCATAGACGCGGTGGGGATGTACCGTCAAGGTGCCCCTATTAGCATTATCTCAATTGATACTCCCATCTTGTAGGAATCTGTATATTCTAGCACAGCAATGAGCATAGACGCTGTGGGGATGTACGGTCAAGGTGCCCCTATCAGCGTTATCTCAATTGATACTCATATCCTGCAGGAATCTGTATATTCTAGCATAGCATAGACGCAGTGGGGATGTACGGTCAAGGTGCCCCTATCAGCGTTTGTCAACTGATCACCCATCTTGTCTATTCTATCAGAAGGTATGTACTAGATCAAATGGTCTCACAGAGATTTACAGAAATCAGAAATCAGGAGGGTAGTCGTAAGAGAAATTTTACAAAAAAAAACAATAATAAACATGTCATAAATATGCATACAAATTCACGCACTATTTGCAGGTATTTGGAAGAATAAAGACACACCCACCCAGAATCAATGCCGAATTTCATTTTCAGTGATGAACACCACAAACAATATACTGTAAATCTGGAAATTAAAGTGTCTCCAAATTAATACGACTGCTGACCCCTAGCCAAAAAATGCGACTCAAAATCAATGCGACTCCCCCCACCCCATCCCCAGTGGAATGATAGGAATCCTTACCCTAATCCAATCAAACAGTGGTCAATGATGCCTAGTTTGACACGAGTGGGTAGAACTCTTGACCCCAGCAGTGATAACTCACCGGATGCCCTTTGTGTAATTCCTATTCTTTAAATGACATTGTTATGTACTTGTTACAACTGCTGCTCAATAAACCATGTTTGTGTATATATTCAGGTTGGTATTTCCGCTATCCAAAGTGTGCGCTATCCGAAGTCATATTGTTGATAGTCATTTTGGAGACATAAATACGAAGTTTCATTAATGCGAACAAAGACCACTCGCATTTTATCATTTAATTCATGCTCGCGTTAACTTCAAGATTTACATTACCTCGTAACATAGGATTATCCTATAACACGTATGTCCCATTGTACGCAATAGATGCCAGGAAATTTGTTGTGCCTGCTAAATCCCAGTATGAGATGACCACAATAAAGCTAACTTGGTGAGAACACTACGGCCTTTTTGAGACGACTTGGAGTCAGTTGGCTTTAACATTGCTTTGAATGTGAGTGAGTCAGCTTAATGTGGGAGGAAAGCCCGAAGTGATGCAGGTCTCAGACGTTTACCACTTCGGTGAAACCAACGAGCACGGGTATGGTGCTGACAAACCTAGAAACATAATCGGGGCGAACCGGGATTCGAACCCACAGTCATAGGTTTCTGGCCTGCCCAAGGGACGCAACTCTGCACAGCGAATCGCGGCGCCTTAGACGACTGGGCCACCCGTGCCCCCAACATTGCTTTGAAGAGAATTTCAGTTATACTCCATGTGTCAACTTGACGTGGGGGCAAAGCCAGGAAGTTAGCCAGGTCTCAGACGTTTAGCACTCTGGTGAAACCCATGAGCTGACGAACCTAGAAACATAATCGGAGTGAACAAAGATTTAAACCCTCGACCAAAGGTTTCTGGGTGTGTCCAAGTGACGGAAGTCACAGGTCAACTCAGATCTATCATTATCAGTATCGAGATGTTACCTTCAATATACAATTAACTACTCTTGATCATTCGTATTGTTAAACCGAAATATAATCTAAAGTTCATGTACCCTTAAACTTTTCTGTTTCATTACAATAATTTACCCACGAACCATAAAATGTTAGAACCGGACGCCATCTTGCTTCCTAGCAGACGAGTCAATATTCATCACGTGACAAGTCAATACTGATCATGTGACAAGTCAATACTGATCATGTGACAAGTCAATGTTTGAGGTCAGTGTCAGTCACGTGATTTGGGGGTCAACATTGAAACGTATTTTTTTGTCACGTGGTACGGAATAACCAATGGAATAGCAAGATTCTTAATAGAGGCATAACCAGCTATAATGAACACATTCTTAATGAAAGATTATCTAGAAGTTCGCCTACAGTAATAGTTACCGTATTTATCATTATTGACACTGAGATATTCACCTGTGCAGCTGTTCTTCATGAATAATCAAGATATTCAGCTGTCAAGTTAATTGTCAGGATTATCTTCGTACCAATATCATGAACAGTTTAGTAAATCTTCATGAACACATCTATCATGAAAGGTATTATCTAGATGCCCACCTACAAGTATGTTGACCAGGCTAAATGGTAAACAGAGTGTCAGCTTGACGAACAACATGCTTTGTACAAGTGGCCAGGGCATGTTTATCAAAAGGTGCATCTGGCTTGTGGATATGCAATTCAAAGAGAAAAACCAGCTCTTGAAGAATGGCATACTTGTCCCAACATTACAGCAACAGAAATAGGCAATTTGTGGGCGTGTCCCAATGTTACAGTGACAGAAACATGTAATTTGTGGGCGTGTCCCAATGTTACAGTGACAGAAACATGTAACTTGTGGGCCTGTCCCAATGTTACAGTGACAGAAACATGTAACTTGTGGGCGTGTCCCAATGTTACAGTGACAGAAACATGTAACTTGTGGGCGTGTCCCAGGTCAACTCAGATCTATCATTATCAGTATCGAGATGTTACCTTCAATATACAATTAACTTCTCTTGATCATTCGTATTGTTAAACCGAAATATAATCTAAAGTTCATGTACCCTTAAACTTTTCTATGTTTCATTACAATAACTTACCCACAAACCATAAAATGTTAGAACCGGACGCCATCTTGTTTCCTAGCAGACGAGTCAATATTCATCACGTGACAAGTCAATATGATCATGTGACAAGTCAATACTGATCATGTGACAAGTCAATACTGATCATGTGATAAGTCAATGTTTGAGGTCAGTGTCAGTCACGTGATTTGGGGGTCAACATTGAAACGTATTTTTTTGTCACGTGGTACGGAATAACCAATGGAAAAGCAAGATTCTTAATAGAGGCATAACCAGCTATAATGAACACATTCTTAATGAAAGATTATCTAGAAGTTCGCCTACAGTAATAGTTACCGTATTTATCATTATTGACACTGAGATATTCACCTGTGAAGCTGTTCTTCATGAATAATCAAGATATTCAGCTGTCAAGTTAATTGTCAGGATTATCTTCGTACCAATATCATGAACAGTTTAGTAAATCTTCATGAACACATCTATCATGAAAGGTATTATCTAGATGCCCACCTACAAGTATGTTGACCAGGCTAAATGGTAAACAGAGTGTCAGCTTGACGAACAACATGCTTTGTACAAGTGGCCAGGGCATGTTTATCAAAAGGTGCATCTGGCGTGTGGATATGCAATTCAAAGAGAAAAACCAGCTCTTGAAGAATGGCATACTTGTCCCAACATTACAGCGACAGAAATAGGCAATTTGTGGGCGTGTCCCAATGTTACAGTGACAGAAACATGTAACTTGTGGGCCTGTCCCAAGGTTACAGTGACAAAAACATGTAACTTGTGGGCGTGTCCCAATGTTACAGTGACAGAAACATGTAACTTGTGGGCGTGTCCCAATGTTACAGTGACAGAAACATGTAACTTGTGGGCGTGTCCCAATGTTACAGTGACAGAAACATGTAACTTGTGGGCGTGCCCCAAGGTTACAGTGACAAAAACGGAACTTGTGGGTGTGTCCCAATGTTACAGTGACAAAAACGTAACTTGTGGGCGTGTCCCAATGTTACAGTGACAGAAACAAAGTAGAAAAGTCTCCTCTCTTGGTGCGGCTGAAATGAATAGAGTCACAGCCTCATGGGATATACGGACATAAATACTAACGTACTAAAAGCATAAGTGACTCTCCGCCACACGACCCCAGGAACCTGCGAGGGGTAGGACCAGACCGAGGCAGCCTCACTTTGATTGTAGAGTGAGTATAAATTATTTGATTACGACACGTCTACAGCAGAACAGTCTCAAGTCACATGGCACTCTGCCCACGTCTCTTCTCAATACAATCAGTCCAGGCGTATCAAACGTGGCGACAGTGCCCCCTGGTGGTTGGTAGAATCATCACACTCCCTACTTTTTTTCATCGATTGTTTTTAACAAACGTATCCAGAATGTCCTCGGCCATTTTGAGGTTGTTGTGCGACACTCTCAAGGCCTCCACTGCTTTGAGGCGATCGTAGCCCCGGTCTACGAGTATGGTGACGTGCTCCTCATTTAAACTGCCCACAATCGTTCCATTGTTCTCCTTGTTTAGGTCCTGGTTCTCTCGCAGTCCCTCGCGCCGAGCGGGCAGGGGAATATCATTCACATCTCCACTGAAACAACACACACATCCAATACTAATTAACCATACTTGATGGTTCCAGCTGTCACAGTAGTGTAGAATAGTGGGCAGATCGATCTCATTAACTCATAGAAACAACATCAAAATACTATCATACATTCATATTTTCCCAACAAACACATGTAATTATTTTTGATTTTGTATTTATTTTGTGCCAGATGTATGCTCATCTTTTTGTATCGTAACCATGCATATTTATGCACATGTCTTCAAGTTTGCACGTACATCTTGAACTATCACCCAACCTACATTCCATATCAGTAAAAGAGCTGGAATGCAGGGGGATTACAGGATCCTTCCCCTTCAATGACTCGATATACACTCCCCATCAATGATTCCATATACCCTACCCCTCAATGACTCGATATTCCCTCCCCATCAATGACTTGATAAACCCTCCCCCCTCAATGATTCCATATACCCTCCCCTCAATGATTCCATATACCCTCCCCCTCATTGATTCTATATTTCCTACCCCTTAATGACTCCATATACCCCCCCCCCCCCCCCCCGTCAATGATTCCATATACCCTCTCCCCCTCAATGATTCTATAGTCCCTCCCCTTGTGAAAGGTGGAGGTGTTTGTCCGTGGGGTGAAGGAGTGTAATAGTGGGGTGGAGGTGTGGGCCTGTGGGGTGAAGGTGTGTCATTGTGGGGTGGAGGTGTATGGGGTGGAGGTCTGTGGGATGGAGGTGTGGGATGGAGGTGTGGGTCTGT